TATTCTACATACAGTCACTTGCGCTCACAGCATGTCAAAATTAGATTTGTCGTATACGCGCTTGTTACTTCTCTGACTCCCAACCGTGCCCGCAAAGCAAAACCGGTGATTTTGAAAACATTTTGAAGTAGAATGGGTTTAGGAAACCAGAGGAATTTAGTTTCCATGGAGTGAGTAAATATCGGATATCTCGCGCCAGCTCAAATCAGCCGAATCGAAAGATCTTGGTTGAAACCTTGTGTTATGTGCTTTGGTGAGAAAATTCAACATTCACAGCAACTCTCCACCAGGAGTTTAAATAGTTACCGGTGAACTGTCAGAGAAATCTGACAAACTACTTGAGGGTGCCCAACCAGAAGAAGAAGAAGCGGGGCTCTTAGTACATGTGCTATCATACCACAGATACCGGAATAAACTTTAATGGCTGTGGGACTTGTAATTAGTTTCGTGTGCAGTGTGCAGGGGATAAATAGCCTTTACCTAATTGACATGTTTTCTTTATTCTCATCACTCGTCTGCCAGATAAAGTTGTAAGGAGAAGTTCTGTCTTGGTCACTAGTGAGAGTTAAAAGGTTAAGTAACTACGCTTGTACGACTGATCTGCTGTGAACGCATATATCTGGATTTAACGGACTGCAAGTAGAAACTAACCGGGTCGAAAGAAAAAAGAAATGACATATTCTTTTAACTTTAGAGCGCTTTTGGTGTGATTAGTCATCTTCTTTGTTTCTGTTGATAGTAAAACACTGGTGTCAAAGAATTACATAATGGTTATCGTACATGAAAATGCACCTAACCCATCTATTATAACGATGTTTTAGCCTGACAAATATTCCCATAACTTCGACATATTTCTAGAGAAAAACTTGAAATTGGGTAAAAGAGGCGTAGTTATTAAAATGGCAGGCCTAAAACTATTATTGTTAGGGATTTAGCTGATAAAAAAAATTGTCTGCTACTTTCTTTTTTTCGTTCGCAGCCGGAAAAAACGATACATTTTTAGATATTACGAGGTACTTATTGAAAGGAAGTTATACATGTACTCTCATAACGTTTTTTTTTTCTTCAAGGGCAGGG